GCTCATTCAACTTATGTGCAAATAAGGAAAACCCTTTTATATATACCAAAATTACCATCAATTCTTTGAAACTCAATTCAACTCCAATTTCATGATTTACACCCCAATTTAGCCCAATTTCACCAATAAACCAATTTTAACCATAATTCCAATTTTAGCACCAATTTTGACCGGAGACCGCTAGTCAGTCACCGTTGACTATTTTTTTCGACAACTTTTTTTTTTTTGTAGGTCAACCGCCGTTGACCGCCAGGTCTCCACCATTGATTTTTTTTGTTTTTGTTTTTTCTTAAAAAAATATTTTAATTAATATTATTGTCTTGGGTGCTAAATTACTGTCTCCAGCAGTAATTTAACTGTCGGAGACAGTAATTTAACTGTTCATTGATTTTTTTTTTTCTTAAAAAAAATTATTTTAATTAATATTACTGTTTTGGCTACTAAATTATTGTCTCCAACAGTAATTTAACTGTTAATTGACTTTTTTTTTTTAATTTTTTTTTTCTTAAAAGAATATTTTAATTAATATTACTGTCTTGACTGCTAAATTACTGTCTCCAAAAGTAATTTTACTGTATTAATTAATTTATCTTCTTGGCCTGCAATTTTGCTGTCTTCGGCCGTAATATTACTGTTTCCGACCGTAATATTACTGTCTCATGCAATAATGTTACTGTTTAAGATAGTAATATTAGTAATATTACTGTTCAGAAAAATGTAATATTCATAATATTACTGTCCCAAACAGTAATATTACTGTCTGAGACAGTAATTTAGTAGTCAAGACAGTAATAGTAATTAAAATATTTTAAAAATAAAAAATAAATTGAAAAAAAATCAACGCCGGAGACCGGCCGGAAAAAACTTCAGAAAACGTTTAAAAAAAAAGTCAACGCCGAATAACCGCCTGGTCAACGCCGTTAAAAAAGGATTCATAATTTTTTTTTTCAAAACATTATTAAAAAGGGGGTTAATGTGATATATTTGTTTAAATCTGGGGTAAATATGTAATATTGAGGAAGTTAGAGTGTAATGGATGAAATTGATAAAAATTATATTACGGAGGGTATTTTAGGCTAAAGACATGGGGATAAGTCTATTTAAAATACTGTTTTTTGTATGGACCAATGTGCATTTAATTCATTGTCATGTCCCTTTTTGCCATTTGCCCTGATTTTATATACTATCCTACTTAATTAGTAGGACTATTTGATTTGATTTTCATGCATAATTTAGGAGAGAAATATATCTCTATGTAATACTATAGGGTTCTTTCAAACTAGTGACGGCATTGGCTATATGCTGACTCCGCCACTACAACCTATGTGTATATATTATGTATTTTATCAAAATGCTATCAAGATGTGTTTCACGTGTGGAGTAGCTTGACATCAATATCTGTCATGAGTGGACTAAAGTCTTGGTGGCGTGGTTGTTCTCTGATGAAGGTTGCGGCGGGGGATTCAACGGTGCCTGATTTTCAGGCAATTTTCGCCCTCTTGCAATGTACGCCAGATATCTCTTCTGATGAATGCAATGACTGCTTGATGGATGCCGGACAACGACTTTCCGGATGTTGTGATGGTTCGAGCTTCGTGCACATTCTTGCACTAAGCTGGGATCTTAGGTATCATACTTTACCATTTTACAACATTACTAGGATTCATCAAGTACAAGCCATCGTTTCTCCTCCGTCGCCTGTGCCTGTGCCCGACCCCATCCCACTTTACCTTCTTTACCAATATATATATATATATATATATATATATATATATATATATATATATATATATATATATATATATATACTCACACACATGCATATATGTGATTAGCAATTTAGTGTTGTTGCATTCTTCGATTGAAACGCAATATAATGTCGTAACATAAGTTGATAATTAATTAAAATGGCATATACGACATGCATGCATGATATAAAAACATTAGTTTGGGTTTTGCAGGCCGAAAACGTGACGCAACTCGAACTGTCATCATCGTTGTCGTTCCATTAATTTTGTGCTTAATATTTGGTGCTTGTGTTGGCGTATGCCTGAGAATGAAAAGGAAAACGAAGCGAGATCGTGAAACACTTGCAAGTACGTTAATGTCTTTCCCACTTTAATTTTTATACACATATATGTATCTATATATATTTATGTATATAACTTCGACTTCACATACTTGAACATGAATTCAGCTAAATATTTTGTGTCTATTACTTAGATGATGATGAGGTAAGTGCTGTAGAATCCTTACAACATGATTTTAGCATAGTTAGAGCGGCCACTAATAATTTCTTCGAGTCTAACAAGCTGGGGCAAGGAGGATTTGGTGTTGTTTATAAGGTACTCATACGATGTTAATTTGATAGATCTTGACACATAGGATACATATATTCATATTTAGTTAATTTATATTATTTTTTCTCCCTAAATTTATGGCAGGGAAAATTTCAAAACGGCCAAGAAATAGCAGTGAAAAGATTATCAACGAGTAGTCGAGGTCAAGGAGATTTGGAATTCAAGAATGAAGTATTATTAATTGCGAAACTTCAACACCGGAATCTAGTTAGGCTATTAGGGTTTGCAATGGAAGGAAAAGAAAGGCTTCTTGTGTATGAACTCGTACAGAACGCAAGTCTAGACCGCTTCGTATTCGGTAACATATGTTTCACTTCAATTTTCATCAAACAACAATTTTTTTTTTGTTTGAATTTGATCTCTAATTAACAATAATATTTGGTTTGTAGACCCAATCAAGCGTTTTTATTTCGATTGGGAGAAGCGTTACAAAGTTATAGTGGGTATTGCGAGGGGACTTCATTATCTACACGAGGACTCTAGTTTCCGCATTATTCATCGTGATATCAAAGCCGAAAATATCCTACTAGATGCTGAAATGAACCCTAAAATAGCTGATTTTGGTACGGCAAGGTTGTTTCAACAAGATCAAAGTGGGGCCAATACTCGAAGAATAGTCGGAACATAGTAAGTCATTTTAATTACTTCTATAGTTTAAACGTATATATATTTTCTTCCTTGTATATTCTTGTCGTTTCAAATCGATATTTCATATCTAATAACATACATATATAAATGTATCTATTGCAGTGGATACATGGCACCGGAGTATGCAAGAAATGGACAATTCTCTGTTAAGTTAGATGTGTATAGTTCACTACTAGAAAATCAGCTTTTAGTGACGCCTTTAATCGTCACTATAGCAACTTTTTGTGACGCTTTGGTCATTGTGACGCCCTACAGAAGCGTCACATAGGTGGCCGTCATAATATCATTTTGTGACGAATGCAGCGTCTCAATAGCCATGCTATGATGACGCCTTCAGGCGTCCCAACTACACATATTTTGTGATATGTATAGGCGTCATATTATTAGTTTTCAACTTCTATTAATCTCTGTTTTTATGACCCTTACAGCGTCTCGAAATATAGATATAATGACGCTTTTAATTGTCTCAATAAATCTAATAGATATAATTCAGTTCTCATCTGCTAATTCACACCATTTTTCACATCTAATCTAATTACACTAATGCTCAACATCATAAACGTAAAATTAAATCATCCACGAACACAAGAAAAATGAAAAACAAAAATAAAAAAATTACGTACACATACAGCAAATGTGTTCATCATTGAAGCTATTCATTTCAATGGTTCAAAATAACATAAATATTTGGATAAAAGTATTCCACATTTAATCTAAAATAAAAAATAACAAAAATAAAAAAACCCTTCTTTTAACAGTACTGCAATTGAATTGTTGCATCTGGTTCTACTCGCCGCTGGTTAGTTGTAGTGCAACGTCCTTCCATCTCTCACTTCATAAAAATGTAGCAACCTTTTTTAAGAGCCTTTTTTATGACCTGTTCGATAGATGGAATTAATGAACAATAACATAATGAGTAGAATGAATTTATGAAGCACCTGAAGATCTCTGACATGTTCTAGAGTATAATCGTATTATCTTACAAGACACTCCCTTCATTTCCGTTACTGCAAAATTAAAATAAAAACGATTATTGCATTTTTATAATCGAAAAACTTATTAGAACCATAAATTAAATGCAAATGAATTGAACTTACAAGATGTACATAGTAAGGCTGCATAACAAGACCTCATAACAACATTGTAGATTAAAAAAACATAAAAATGGCCATAACTGTATAACATAAATTCAGGCCTAGACGAATAAAATCTATAAAAAGTTACCTGTAGTGATTGACTTAATAGACTCTTGGAGAATTAAACACTATATTTGTCAGATTCAGTCACGAAACCAAACAATGCTTCAACCTGAAATTTGTGTTTATAATAATAAATAAACCAAACTTTGCCTAAATCTGAAAGTAGTGTAAATTACAATTGAAAGTTGCTGATAATCCAACAAGGAGATCATAAACAGGAGAAAGTGGTTTACGACTTCGCAAGAAGGCTCAAGATTTGCAGCTTTTCTAAATGGATATCAAAATATTCATATTTCTTTTGCATTAAAGGACCTATCAAATTCAATAGGATCATCAGAAGTTATATATATATATAATTTGATAACACATTGTCTAAAGAAAAAAGTATAAAATTTCAACACTTCACAATTTACATGCAAGATTTTGATATAAGAACACGTACAGATAAATGTAAGTTACTCTACAAAAACATAAGTACCAGATTATCCATCATTAGTAAGTATACATACAAAGTAATAATTTACGATCTTTCTACAGTGGCAAAATTCCATATAGCAATAAAAAAAAAAAAAAAAAAAGCTCTTCAAACACATACTAATCAAACCCTTGAAATTTCATATAGAACTCCTGAAAAACCAACCTTTAGTTGTTCAACATCAAAGCTCAACATCAAAGCCTCGTAATAATCTGTTCACCACAAAGCTAATATTATAAGATAATTTGATTGCAATTGCACTCCAATAAATTCTTGGATTTCAATCTGATTATCCAATCTATTCTATCTTTTGGAAAAAAAAAATTTATATTATGACTTATCGGAGAGAGAGACAGAGAGAAAAAGGCTTTATCAGGTTTAAGCTTTCTTAGCTTCTTTCCATCGAATCAAAAATTCATTCACAAGAGGAACAAAAAATCAAAAACATAGAATTCATAGAACCCAATGTTAGGAAGATACAACTTACCAGCCCTTTTTCCCTTGATGCCATCTAAAAAGAACTCACAATCAAAAAAATTGAAAGGTATAAATTAATAGGAAGTACAATCAAATACCACAAAATCAATAAAGTTCCTTGATTGCATCTAAAAAGATCTAAAAACCCTAACCCGTTTCCTAGATTAAGCCCTAAAAAAACAGCGAACCCTAAAAAATAAGAGAAAAAAATCATTCAGCCCTAAAAATTCATTGACCCCATGAATCATAACATTTACCTGCAGGTTTATGAGAAAAATATCATCTTTTGAGTTTTCTTTGTCGGATTGTTTTTTGTAGCTTGAATGATGTGTATACCTTTGTGTAGTTACGACTGTGAAAAGAGACGAAGGGGAAGGGGAAGGGGATGGGGAATAGGATAAAAGTAAGAAAAAATGAAGGATTATGTGAATAAAATATCTTTTAAAAAGGCAAGGTGAAATATTTTTTATGAAATATTTTGGTAAATTATGATATGATATGACGATGTTTTCAAAAGCGTCCTAATATATTCATTTTTAGATTTAAAAAATAAAAGAAAAATAAAAACACGGAAGTAACAAGCCCGTCTAGTTTAAGGCGTCTTAATAGAATACTTGTTGAGACAATTTTTAAGGACCGTCATACTAAGGGGTCATTTAGGCGTCACCAAAACCTGTTTTTCTAGTAGTGGTTGGTTAAAAATGCAAAACAAAATACATTATATATCTATATCTATATATGTACTTTTTGTCCACAGGTTTTATTTGTTTATTTTTTTCGACAAGTTGGTATAGAAAGTTGACAAAAAAATCGATCTGTATGTGTCGAAAACTGTGAACGAGTTCCAAAAAAGTAAATAAAAAATCGACTTTCAAGCTCAAAAAAGGCATAGATACGTATGTGCTTTAATGGATTCTCATCTTATGTAAACTACCATTTTGTTGTCTTGTGACTCTATTTTGTAAGTTTCATGAGGTTTTGGTTTCTTTGAATTTTGAGAGTTTTTGGAGGGTTTGTAAAGCAGAAGAAGAAGAAGAACAAGAGTAAGAAGAAGAAGAAGAAGAAGAAGAAGAAGGAGGAGGAGGAAAATAGAGAGGTGTGTTTACGTTTTGTGTGTGTGGTATTAAAGAAAGAAATTTGATATTTTTTATGCGGCTTAATCTCACTTTGCACTCTTGAAATATAGTCTTCTGACACTTTGCACCCTTGAAAAATAATAATATTACTTTGCACCCTCAAAACACAGTAAACCACTCGCAATGCACCCTTAATTGAATAATAAAGGATAATTTATTTTTTATTGGTTTTTTTTCGGCGTGCAAAATAACAAATTAAATTGAAATAGATTATGAGCTGTTTTTTGCTCATAATCTACTTTTACGTGTTTGCAAAATGAACTTTTGTTTTTGCTTCTCTTAAAATAAACAACTTTAAACTATAATTTGTTAAGCACCCACAACCCTACTTTTTCATTTAAGTTTATTTTCCAATAAAATTGCAAACACCCCCAACTTTAAAAAATAAACACTTAAAACTAACTTAACACAATTGATAACTTTTGTTTTAAATAAGCTTTTACAAACACCACCTATTAAGAAAGAAATGAGATTTATTTTAGCCACCCCTAATATGAGAATAGATGAGACGATGTAATATATTTGATCAAATACTACCAAAAAAACTCAAATTATCATGGCTGCTGATACAGGACACCTTTTAGTAAATGTAGGATATATTTAATAAATTAAAACCTAGCACTAACTCATCTTTTTCTTTCAAATATTTATTTTGTAAGATATTGCATTATTAATCATTAAAACACAATTTTGTACTAAACATAACTTAGACTACCGCAGACGTTTGTTTTTCCGGATTTGTGAAACTTTCCCAGCTCAATTTTTATCAACATTTTTTGTGTTTTTAATTTACAAATCAGCCCAAAACTCTTACTCTAAGTTGAAACCTATATTTTTAATTTCAAGACATATTTTGACTGTAGATAATTCCCCAATTTATTTCTAAAAGTAAAAAAAAAAATTGAAAATTCAACAACACAAAATTTAATTGAATTTAAATATTGATGTGTCTAATTGGATCTTAAACTCAATTGGTCCATTAAATGCCAATTAAGGGAGAAGTCCAATTAGAGCACCACTTCTATATTTTTTTTTCCACATTGAATCTCTACAAGAAGTTTCACACTTCCACACGTGTTCCACATTGAAAGTTTACAAGAAACTAGTAATCAAGTCCTCCTATAAAGATAAGGTATCACTTCCAATATCTAACTTGAGCGTCGAAGCGTAATCGGCGGGCCCACCCGGCGAGTCACTTAGTGTCTTGATTTGTTTTATAGGTTATTCAGCGGACCCACACATTTGATCCATTTGGACACGTGACAAGGACCCTCGCCTTTTTTTATAATGGACTTAAAGATTCGTGAACTTAAGAAAGCTGCGGGCTTCAAAACTATTGGGCTGACCCACTATTTTGGAGCAGCATCAAATATAATAAAAGTGAAACATGAGAACTTTATTTAGAACAATAAATCTAAAGAAATGATAAATGTGTGGAGTGAGATTAAAAATTGAAGTTAAAAAAATGACCTACTAAAAATCATCATGTATTTATCATTTCCCAATTATCATATATACTCTTAATTTACCTATTTGGAAACCCCAAACGAGCCATTTGATGCGTTTTAATTTTACAAAAAAAAAAAAATTAAATAAATAAATAAATAAAAAACAAAAAACCAGTAATGAAACGACGTCGATGTTCAGGGAAAAATGAAAATGAAAAAAGAAAATAAAAATAAATACAGTAGAACCTCGATAAATTAATACCCGATAAATTAATAACCTCGCTTAAATAATAAATTTTCCCGGTCCCGACTCGGGGACAACGTGCTAAATTAATAATTCGCTAAATTTATAAGATAATACACATTCGAAAAATTTAAGAAGCCCCATATAATATATAAATTAATAATGCATAAAAATAATTCTTAAATTACATGGTATAGTACATATTTATATATCTATGAAAGCTTAATACAATATAATTTAATTGTTTCTTGATTTTTGTTGAAGTTCACATTACCACCAATCTCGTCCCTCACTTTTCTTAACATGGTTAGAACTTTCGGTATAGTTTTCTCATAACTCAACATAAAATTGTACTATACCATTGCTGCTTTAAGAGCTTCCATTCGTGAAACGGGCTCTATAATGCATTGAACTAATGGTACAATGAATAATATACACGTAAAAAAATTAAAAAAATATATTTATTGAAAATAATAATAAAAGTGATTTCATAAATTAATAATTTATTAATTAATGTATAAATTAATAATTATTAATTTATCGATAAGTTAATATTTCGTTAAATTAATGAAATTTTGATGGTCCAACAGTATTAATTTATAGAGGTTAACTGTAAATTATGAAATTCACAAAGGGCGAGGCAATAGCAGTGTAGCACAAATTGTCAATTGCAATTTTCCTTTCTTCTTCACTGGCACCGCCCCTGTGCTATTAGGGCTTCCACCATTCCCGCCGCTGCCGCAATTCGCCGCCACAGCCCACCGCCACAAGCCGCTGTAAGCCATCTCTGTAAACTATTTGTATTTTGTGCTTGTGTTGAATTTGATTCGCCGGAGGAACGAAATTCCGCGGGGGTGTGTTTGGTTGGGGGTTATAAAGCAGGAAAAGGATTAATACCATAAAAATAAAATAAAAAATCAAACAATAGAACACACCGATAATGGGAATGATTCTATGAATATTAGAACATTGTTGTTTTTATTTACCAAAAATATAAAGTAGAATGTTGTAATTTTAGTTTTTGTTGTTTATCTGTTACAATCATATAAAATTTTTGTATGAAAAAAAAAAAATTAAAATCCGGTTTCGTGTTTAAAAAACATATTGGTTTTATTGTAGTAGAAGCCGAAGCAAAAAGCAGTGAGGAAGCGACAATGAATGCACCCGATCGTTACGAACGATTCGTCGTCCCCGAGGGTGTCTCCAAGTACTCAAACTCTCACTCTCACACACACACACACAAACATATATTTTACCCTT